GTCATCTGTCTCCTACGAACGTGTCCAAAACACCGGGCTTTCCTCTCTCTAACTTATCTGTGATGAATGCAACTCCCATCTCAACTTGGAAGACCTCATTCAGTAACCCATCCAACATGGTCCGGCCATAGGTCCATTTTAGCATCCTTCTTTCGCAACTTCCAACTTCTTCCAATGGTCCTTCCTTGTCCCCCAATGTTTTGAATCATACAACATAGTTGGTAAGATGATTACCCTAGAATTTTCCATGCAGTTTTAGCTAGACGGTACCTATAAACTTTAATTAWTCCAACTTGTATTCTGCAATTCTGAAGCCAACACTTCCACTTGAGTTATTTCAGCGGTTTCGTTTGTATGATACCAATATAATATGCATAAAACGGTCGGCAAGGTATATGATGTTTACTATAAGGAGAATGCATAAAGTATGTTCTCTATGAATGCCATCGATTTTGCATCTACCAATCTCTCAAAACATGCTAACATGCTATTTTATATCTAACATACCTTCTCTTTATTCTTGTTTAGGTCTTTGTTTTCAAGGAACCATGATAAAATTCATGTGCGAATATCTCCATCATCTTCCATGCTACTTTTCTCATTTTCTATGAGAACCCAGAAAATGGTTGAATTTGTTTTCATTATGCTACAACTTTCTTCTTCAGTTTTTTGGTCTGGTTGGGTCGTTGTGTCGATAAGAACACTATAATTTGTTAAAATTAAATTCCATTATTATTGATGTTTGAGGGTTTGATATTTAGTATATATACACATATAGAGGAAATCAAAGAATATAAATAACAATTTTGATGTTTCAACACCAGTTCGAATTTGCTCTATTTTGCATGCATTCCACTTCTTTTGATCAATTTTTTTCTTCATACTGTATATGGATGTATTTGTATAACAGGACAGGGTTCAAATGATGGATGCTGTACAATGAAAGGACCGGTAATTGGTGGCCCTTTCAATCTGATTGATTCACATGGTAGATTAGTTACAGAAGAGGACCTACGAGGAGGCTGGATACTTCTGTATTTTGGTTATACTTCATCCCCTGATGTTGGTCCTGCAGAACTCCTGAAATTGGCCAAGGCTATCAATACATTAGGTTATAATCCTTCCTCTCTCCCCTTCCCCCCCTTCAACAGAACTCTTTCAACCTTGGTACGCAGCTAGGACTGGACGGGACGGGACTGAGGTAGGCGGGTGAGCAGGGTTTTAGGGTTTTACTTTGACATGGATAGTTTAGTAATTCACCAATCTTGTCCCATCATCCTGATTTTTGTTCCACCTATTTTGGTGGGTCATAAAAAAGGCATTTTTTCCTACTCAGTCCTGTCCCGTCCTGTCCCGGTCTTTACGTTGCAATAAGAATGGGACAACAGGTTTTTGTTCTGTCTTGTCTCATCCTAACCCACGTATCAAACCTAACCAAGTGACAGCTCAACTGGCAAATAAAGGCTAGGCCTTGGGTTTCCCCCATAGGTCGGCAGGCCAGTTTGAGTCCCCCAAGGCCACTGAGATTTTCTTGACTGTTATCATGGGTTTAGTGGCCTAGACACCCATGGTTTTATAAATACATAACTCTTTGGTAATAATCTGATAATCAATCATTAACTCTTTATGATGTTTCTGTTTTATCTTCCGTAAGAATCAAAATACGGTATTAAGGTTCGACCTGTATTCGTTACAATTGACCCGCAGCGTGATACCCCATCTCAACTTCGTGCCTATCTCAAAGGTTAGTTCTCATTTAACCAGAGATAAGGTGGTTTGATGCAAGTTTGATCAACGCTTTAATAGCTTATTACTTTTTCTTTGAACATGGAGTGCAGAATTTGATGAGAGAATAATGGGCCTAACTGGACCAGTTGGGGCCGTAAGACAGATGGCACATGAGTACAGAGTGTACTTCAAGAAGGTTGAAGAAGATGGGGACGATTATCTTGTGGAATCCTCGCACAATATGTAAGCTCCATTTTCCAAAATCATTTTTTTTCGTTCCAGGCCCATTTGGTTTACAGGGTTTTGTAGGATTTGGAACTGGACTCTGTTCCAATCCAGCGATTGGTTTAAAGGAAAGTCTGGAATTGAAAATCCCGGGATTTCAATGAAATCCCACAAATTTTGGATTTAGAAATCCCATGGGGGTAGCCGGTATTTCATGGGATTATTTGTAATAATGTTTTAAAATATGTAAAAAAACTTTTTGTTTTGTAATAGTCAATTAATAAGAGGCAATTTAATTATTTTTATAATTATTTATAATTTTTTTTAATAAATTACCTATAAAGAATGGACTTCAATTCCATTTCATGTCCTACAAACTAAACATGCCAAAGAATCCAAATCCTTCCACGAAATCCAGATCTCTCAAAATCATTAGGTCAAACCAAATGCACACTTAGTCTTTTAGAAAAATGTTCCATTTTTTAACTTCATCCATTCTTAATTTATTGTTGTTGTTGCATAAAAACTATTATTAAGACGACTAGATGCAAATAAATATGGTATACAATGCTGTATATGTTTTTTTTTCCAACAAAATGATGTATATGTTTTAAACACTCTTAATATTGGTGCAGAAGCTCTGCCAATACATTCACTGGAATATTTTTCTTTCGAACAATGTATATATGTGCAGAAGTAAAAACGAATTTTCAACTTCTTAAAGCAGGGAAGCATTTAGGCCATTTTTGGCAACCATAAGCTAGCTTATTCTTTGAGCTTATTGAAAAAGTCCCGTTTGGTAAGCTGTAAGCTACCTTTTTGAAAAGCTACTTTAGATAGTTTTCAATAAGCTCCATGGTTTTTTTCCCACTTTTTCCATTTATGTCCCTTGTATTTTTTTCAATTTATTTTTCAACATGCCTTTTTATGTCATTTTACATTGTCGTTTGGCTTATCAGCCAGTTTTACCAAATGTGACTAGCTTATCAGCTAGTTTGCCAAACGTTCCATATCAGCACCTGCCTGGTCCACCATTTTTATTTATTTATTTGGTTACTTTTACTCAAGAGCCACACTGTTAAATATTTAAAGATCGCTGACCAGTGACTAAGCAAATCTTTGTATGTGTCGGGGACAAGTTGGCTAGGATTCAGACCGGATAGGAAAATCCTTGAAATCGAGAATTTTATCCACAAAACCAAAGAGGAGCAAGGAAATGCAATTGGCATACTTAGCCAATCGAGTGAGATATGCTGGGGTTGTTTGGTATGACCCCCTTCCTTTTACAACCATAACATTATTGCTACATTATCCTTGAGAGTTGAGTTGTTCTACTCTATTAGCCTTGTATTGGAACTTGAAGCTTTTTCTTATAACCATGGGTGTCCAGAGCACCTCAACTAATCCTGTGGGACTTAAGTTAGAGGCCGGGTAAACCTTCAGTGTTCCTAAGAGGACTCGAACTAGTGACCTGACCTGTTGAGCTAGCCGACCTGAAGTTGCACAACATGAAAAAGAGAATAAATGGTCCATTTTTGGTCTAAGCAGTGCAACCAAGGTATTGTCCAGTCAGCGTTCTAAAAGAGAATCCTTACAGGGTTGTTGGTTTGGTTTTGTTTACTGGTCCGGTTAGGGTTTTAAAAAAGAATCTTCAATGGGTTAGTTTTGTTTGGTTTGGTTTGGGGGTCGAGTCGGGGTTTAGTGGGCCAGAAGTATGATGAGTTCATTTCAAGCGGGGATAAATACAAAGTTGGATAAACATTGTTCTAACTTGTATTTTCTTTTTGAAGTATATAATATTTTATATACATCAAATATTCACGGACACTCCACTCGAACCCAGAGCTAGCTGGTTCTCCCCGAAATGCATTGAGGCTCATCTTTGGTGAGATTTGAACCCTTGACCTCTTGAGAGGCTAGGCTTTACCTGTAACCCAGATACCATTTGGCCAATGACCCTTTGGTTTGTTCTGACTTGTATTCTTGTATCTAACAGGTACCTGATGAATCCATGCATGGAAATCGTTAGAACCTTCGGCCTCGAGTATAATGCAGAGCAACTATCAGAACAGATTCACAATGAATCACGGAAAACAGGAGCATAATTCGTCTTTTTCTTATCACGCCGTGTAATTGGTAAAAGAAACTTCCATTATTGTTTTGATACGAGCAGCAAATGAACATTCAAAGAATGACTTTCTGGACCTTTGCAATATGAATTCCCAAATATAGATTCCAATCAATGGTGATGGTGAAACCAACCATCCATAAAGACTATTCCTTCGGCACTTCTATTACTTTCATTTGGATTAGCATGGGTTGTACCCGCTTACTCGTATCACGATTAATCTCATCAAATCCTGAAGTTCTATAGCCAGGAAAACCTCCAGTGACCCTAAGGGGACTTGAACTTATCACCAATTTCGAACAAACGGAAGTTCTAATCAGTTGAGGCACTCGCAGCATGGGACCTGACAAAAGAAAGAGCGATGCCTACATTAAATCAATTGAAGAGATTTTTTTTTGAGGAAGTACCGCTTTGTCAGTGGAAAGAAATTTACCTTTCTGAAGGATGTCACTGTAATGTTTTGTTGTATGTCCCGATACTTTTCAGAAGTACATTTATGACAGAAATTTAAGCTTGCTGAATCGGTTTATTGTGCATGATTATCTTGCTTTTAATAGAGAATGAGGTTCGAATCCCGCTGGTGTTAGAATACCTGGCTTTTAGCTTTTAGTTGGGTTTCTTTCTTATAGTTTTTATTTCAAAAATAAATTTGGACCAAGGTAGATATTCAAGAAATCAAATATGTACCTTTTTCATAGAAATACGAGTAACAACCAACTGAGCCATCACGATTTGGTTTAAATCCATCTTTTTCTTTTATGGTCAAATGGTGTCACAATTTGAGAAAAAATGGAGTCTGGCTCTGGAAATTGACAAAGGTTGGCCCTTTGGTTATTTGTTACTATTGTCATGGAGGAATTTGGTTTGAAAGCTATTTCAGTTATCTGTAGACTTCTAGATCTATAGTCACAACAATTTGTCGTATTAAAATGGAGATTTAGATTAAATTTATTAAACATTTTAATAATATAATTAATATTGTAATCTTCAAAATTGAATGCAATTTTTTTGTAAATTTTGATTGTTACCTTTCTATTTTAATATTTTTTTTGAAAATCTGTTGTAAACGACAAATGCTACCACATTGTGGTAATTGTAGTTCTATTTAGGGATTTTTGTCAACCCAAGTTGTATAGATCTTTGTTAGTCCGATTAACTAAACTGTTAGCCTTTTTATGCCCATTCATGATAGTTTGGTCAATTTAGGGGCTATTTGTATAAGAGATGAAAATTGATTGTAATCATTTTGTATCAATTATCTTAGCTAGCATGCATATTCTTATAATTCAAAATATGCACCGACCAACTCGCCATCCTTGGTGAACCCATGAATCCAGAAGACATTATCAATAAAGTCCTCGAGCATCTTGACTCTAACTATCAAGGAGTCATTGACGCGGTTCATGCTCGTGATACAACTATCGGTCTTGAAAAACTTCATGAAAAATTGCTAAACAGAGAGCTTGTTATAAAATGTTAGACCTCACCACTCCACCTTCCAGCTTCTGCCTACGCAACCACTGCTAGCCCCTCTTATTGATCGCCAAATACCATCTACCATCAATGTCCACCATCCTATTCCAACTACGGTTCACACCAACCATACAAAAATTACAAGCGCAACACCCCCAATACAGGTGGATACCCAAGGCAAATGCCAATCGTGCCATACTCATGGTCGCTAGTGTCTTGTTTTTTCTAGAAAAATTTCCAACTATGCGTCTACCTCCTAGACCCAAGATCAACCAATCCCAACCCCTTTCCACCAATCATCCTACTCCTCATGCTTATGTTGTTATTGTTGGACATCCTTGACCATCTAACCCCCCATCTCCTTGGCTTCTTGATTCGGGTTCCTCGCAAACCTAACCCTTCATCACCCCTATGATAGCTTGGAAGAAATAGTAATAGTAATCGGTAATGGCGGGGTTGTACTGGTTCTCTTTCCATTCCTATGGTTATGCTCACAACATCATCGTCACATAGCTGAAACGAGTCTTACTCTTCTTGCTCATTCTAATCTTTCTCTCGAATTTTTCTCTCATGCTTTTACTTTGGCCACATATATAAATAAACTTCCTACACCTACTCTTCCAAACCACACCCCAATCTCATCGTCTTTTTGGATCGCCTCCAGATTACCTCAAACTCCGTAGTTTTGGGTGTCTTTGCTATCCTCGGTTGTGACCATATACATAACATAAAATTAACCCCAAATTCACTCCTTGTGTCTTCATTGGATACTCCAAAACTCAAAGTGCTTATCATTTCTTAGACTTTCTCACACACAAGGTCTATGTCACCCGCCATGTTCGCTTTGTTGATATGTTACTCTCACCGCTCAAAAGAAGATTTACCTCCACTTTCTCTTGATGAATGGTGTGGTATGTTCATTTTACATATTCTTAAACCTATCCTCAGTCAATGCTAGTGCTGGTAGCCAACTATCCGTTAGTGTGTATGTCCAAAAGTCAATCATTCGATGATTCTGTTTGAAAATTGTGTCATGGTATTTGTTAAATGAAAGGTATTGATTGCCCAATTAATATGCTTACATATTATTATGTTTTATATCTAAACGTAATAATAATCTTAGAATGATATATTCTAAAATGTCCTTAGTCAAGTATTAATTTGGGTTTAGGTAGAATTAATATGGTATGACTAGTAGATATAGGGATTTATATAGAGATATAGAATCCACATATAGGTACAAGATGGATCTTGCGTACCGAACATGATTTGCTATGAGAATATTTCATTGGTTGTCATATGAGTGTCATAGACATTTTGGTATGTTGTCGTTGTACTTATAGTCCAATGACTTGAGATCGTAGAGTTTGCTTTGTGTGAGTAGTGAACTTTGATAATTGACTTTAATCATTTTGCAGCTGGGTGACAAAATGGTTGTTGGATATATTACCACTTAGTATTATTAGCATGGATCAATTTAGAATTTGTTCTTCTTGGATGACAAGAGTGATATTCCTGGCCCCCTCGATTGAATAGTACTGAGAAAGTGCATGCATGTTCAGATAGTCAGTAAAGATATTGATATTTGTCTTATCGGTATATTCTAGAATCAAGAAAATAAAGATTGAACATAAAGAGGATCACACATACATGTCTCATGTTCGATCTGGATACCGAGAACAAAGGGATATAAATGTGTATATTGATAATGATCACACAATTTGCTGATTAACTGAATCACCAAACTTTATCATTTGAGTAACGATGATGTATTGCTAGATGCCGCTCTTTGTTTGTAATTGTAAATAGGATTTACAATTATTTCCATCGTGATAAACTCCCAAAATAGGTCATACGCATAAAATGTATATCTAAATAAGAAAAATAACGAAATAAAGTATTTAATTGTATCCCAATATCTCTATACAAATCCCTACATATGCTAGTCAGTATCATATTACTTCAACCTTAAACCCGCATAATATAATGAATAATTAAAACACATAATATAATATAGACATAATAAACTGGGCAATGCATTTTAGTTATTTTATTAATTTCATGAAAACAAACTCAAAATTACAATCATCATATAATTGGTTTTTGGGCATTTACTAACAATCTTCCACTTCCACTAAAGCCAATCATCCATGCATCATATACCAATGGATCTATAGTGGCCTCCATGCTTCTGCTGTGTTAACGACATGGTTAGTGGATCAGCAACATTACTTTTAGTTCACACTCTACTTATACTAACGTCGCCTCTTTTAATAATTTCTCTAATGAGATGATATCTTCTAAGAATATGTTTGGATCGTTGGTGAGATTTAGGTTCCTTGGCTTGTGTAATAGATCTATTGTTGTCGCATAAACAACACTATAACCATCACTGCTAGAAACAACTCCAAGTTGAGAAATAAATTTCTTAATCCAAACGGCTTCCTTAGCTGCATTTCATGATGCGATGTACTCAGCTTCTGTTGTAGAATCAACACTGTTGCTTGCTTGGAACTCTTCCAGCTCACAACACCACCATTAACACAAAACACAAAACCCAATTGCTAAAAATCATCTTTATCGGTTTGGAAGCTTGCATCGATATGACCCTTTACACTCAACTCTTCTTCACCACCATATACCAAGAATGAATTCTTTGTTCTTCTCAAGTTTTTTAGGGTATTCTTGACGGCAATTCAGTGACCATCACCTGAATTAGATTGGTATCTACTCATCATGCTCAAAGCATATGATACATCAGGTCGAGTACATATCATGGCATACATGATAGATCCAATTGCTGAAGCATATGGAATCTTACTCATTCTTTAACTCTGTTGAGATGTAGTAGGGCACTGCACCTTAGAAAGTGATATGCCATGAAACATAAGTAAGAACTTTTTTTTTTGCTATCAGACATGTTGAACCGTTTCAATACTTTGTCTATATATGTACTATGACTTAAGCTAAGTAATGTTCCCGATATATCTTTATAGATCCGAACGTCTAACACATAGGCAGCTTCACCTAACTCTTTCATTGAAAATCATTTTCCTAACCAAGCCTTTACAAACACTTTATTATTGTAAGAATGATAGAAGTATCTCATAGTTTCTTTAGGATATCCTACAAATATGCATTGATCAAATTTTGGTTCTAATTTAGTTGTGATTAGACGACGTACGTGAACCTCACAACCCTAAATCTTCATAAAAGATAATTTGGGACTTTTCCCAGTCCATATCTCATATGGTGTCTTTTCAGCAGATTTTGATGGAACCTGATTTAGTGTAAATGCCGCTGTCTCTAGAGCATATCCCCAAAAGGACATCGGAAGGTCATCTTGACTCTTCATAGATCGTACCATGTCCAAAAGTGTACGATTCCTCCTTTCGGAAATACCATTCTACCATGGTGTTCCAGGTGGAGTGAGTTGTGATACAATGCCATAATTTCTAAGATGATCAAGAAAGGCATGGTCAAAGTATTCGCCACCTCGATCAGATCAAAGAATCTTAATACTCTTTCCAAGTTGGTTTTGTACTTTATTTTGAAATTCTTTGAATATTTCAACGGACTCGGACTTATGTCGCTTTAAATATACATAGCCAAACCTACTGATATCATCAGTAAATGTAATGAAGTATTTATAACCACCTCTAGCTTGTATGTTCATTAGACCACATACATCCCTGTGTATGATTCCCAATACATCACTTGCTCTCTCATTTTGTCCAACAAAAAGAGCCTTTGTTATCTTTCCTATTAAACAAGTTTTGCATGTCTCATATGATTCAAAATATAATTTTTCCTATAATCCATCTTTTTGGAGTTTGGAAATGCAAGTTTTGTTTATATAGCTGAGACGACAATGCTAGATATAGGTTAAATTCGAGCTATTCGATTTGACCACCTTTTTATCGATGTTATAAATTGGATTATCCATATTAAGAACATAAAGACTATTAATCAAACTTGCTTGACCAAATATATATTACGAAAACAAAATGAACAACATTTGTTCTCAATACTAAAGGTAAAACCTTTCCTGCCCACACACGATACATAAATCAAATTTCTAGAAATAGATGGTACACAATA